AGGATGGTTCCTAGATAGCACATGAATTCTAGGTGGGCCCTTGTAGCAGCAGAGATGAGAAAGCAAGACCAGCTTTGAGATGGGCCCTGTGTTACTTATGCTTAGTCAGTATGGCTGAAGGTGAGCGGGGCAGAGAAGGCACATTCTTCATGTCAGAGGATGGCAGTTCCTCTAGGTCAGCAGTCCTCTGCCTTTTTGGCACCAAGGACCGGTGCTCCTATGAGAATCTAACACCTGATGATCTGAGGTGGAGCTGAAGCGGTGATGCTAGCGCTGGGGGGTGCTACAGATGGCTGTAGCTCGCTGGCTGGCTGCTCACCTCCTGCTGTGCAGCCCCATTCCTAGCAGGCCACGAACCAGTGCAGGAACCGGTAAGGTACCAGTACCGGTCCACAGCCTGGGGCTGTTGGACCTCTGCTTTAGGTCACGAGTTGTCAAAGTTGAAAGGGGGCACAGGGATCATCTAGTCCAGCGTCTCGTTTTCTATATTGGGGGAATTGAAACCCAGGACAGGAAGTGGCCTGCTCAGATCAAAATGAGAAGTAGTGGAAACTCCATGCTAGTATGCGAAAGGGCACATGATGGAAAGCCAGACTTTCAACTAGGTGTGCAAATTGGGGTGTAAGCCTTTCCTTTGACAGTCATTACTTCATTGTCTGGAATTTCCTGTGGATTAAAGACACTAGGACACCTTAGCTAAATGTAACTAATCCCCAGGAAATGGCAGATCCGTGTTTGTTTTAAAATGATGATTTTTTTTGTTAATTGGTATTTCACCCTGAATATTTATTCATCTAACAGCAAGGCAACTGCATTTCTACAGAATTTGGCCATGCTGCCAGGGACATCTCCTCCAGTTCAGAACCCTCAGCACAGCGTGTGGCACAGGGTGGGCACCAGAACATCGTTTACTTAATTTCTGCATTGTGGCCACACAGTGGCCACTGTAGTCTGATGACCTGAATGTGAGTCTCAGTTCTGTCACTAGCTGTGTTGCCTTGGGCAAGGTATCTCACCTCTGAGGCTGTTTCCTTATCTGTAAAATGTGGTGATGAGTGTGTATGTATGTAAACACACACACACCCCTATAAAGTAATACTTTGCAAGATTTAAACCCCCACCATGGTGCCTGGCACATATACTGTTGGGATTTTATTTTTAAGGGGATATTCTTACTTCTAATCCTTATTAAATTACAAAGCGACCATCAGGAATCAGCTGAGGCATTGGGATCTAAGAGCGTGACAGGCTGGGCATTTTCTCTGAGAAATATCTTAAATTTTTTAAAACTGTGTCTTCGTGATTTTTTTCAATTCTGTCATTGATCACTCCTCATTCTTGTCCTACCCCCACTGCCTTCTCCCTTTCTCTCCCTTTGCCTCAAAGAAAACTAATGAAGCCATATAGAAAGCTCCGAGATAGAAGTGACCTTGTGCACCTTTAATTGAGGACAGAATTTGCTAAAAGTGCGTCCAAAAACCCACCAGTGGTTTACTTTACAGTCTGTATCCTGGCTAGACTGGCTGTTGGCTGTATAATTTGTCTAGTTTTGTCTGGAGTCTTAGACTATTCAGCTGCTTCAGGGCAAAATCTTTTGGGGTGTCATTAAATGGGATTGATAATTGGCTTCTGATGAATATTCATTGTGACTAATGACTTTGGGCAAATTTTACACATACTATCTTTCTATTCTCCCAAAGAGTGAGATTTTGATAGGATCATTTTCCTCAACTTGCACTTCAATTAAATATTCACAATACTCTTTTGTTGACTACAATCCAAATCGTATACTTTCATTACTTTTAAATTTTGTGTTCTGTAAGAAATATGCGTAGGCCTTTAGGACACTTATTTTGAAAAATGAGCTTGGTGTTAGAGTTATTTTTAAAATAAGTGGCTAATGATAATTTACGTGACATAATATGGTATTTCTGATTAAGCATAGATCTGTTGTAACATTTTTTCTTGTGGTCGACTTAGCCGCTATTCCTATTTGCACCATTAGCATTTGGTAAAAGAACCAAACAATTCCCTTTTCTGTTTGTTTTCTTAATCAAATGGATAAATGCAGTTTACTCTCATTTTGGAAACTTGGCCCTTAGAAAACTCCCCGATGAGAATGACCATTGAACACTTTAGAAGTTTGATTTTTATGAGGGGTAAGAAATTTTAAAATCTCGTCATTCACCTTGGTCGAGTTTTTTTGAGGTTGAGGAGACATGAAAAGAACATTGTCTGAAGATAAGATCTCTGCCACTTTACTACTTGAATAGGATTTCCATTCAAACCAATTTAAGCTAAAAAGAGGCAGGTAATCAAGTTCTGTCTCAACCCATTCTGTTGTGTTGAATGAGTTTTTCAAAGAGAATTGCAAATACATTCCTGCAATGATGATACATTACATTTGTGTGGCATCTTACAGATTTTAAAGTGCTTTTATTTATTTGATATGTTGTAGACTTATAGAGTAGGGCTATTATTGAATGAATGCATGAATTAATTCATCAACTTGGTTTTCCAACAAGTGGCATATTTGTGTGTCTAAACTTGCTATTATTGTTTTGGAATTTGAGTCAAATACTTCACTCTGTGAGACTCATGAAAATATTGATCTAGTACTGTTAAAAGCCAAGCCACTATCTTTACATTGTGACTATAGTCTAAGAATTTGTTTTTCATTTATTCAAGAAACATTGCATGAGCTAGCACTTACATATATGCTCTCTCACTGAGAACATGGAGAAGAAAAGAGAGACAGGTCTTTCTGTACTTTGCAGTGAAAGGGCAAACGTAGACAGTTACAGCCGCATTAGAAGTGGGGTGTATGCCTGGGACAGCCATGCAGGGAAGGTACCGCACACGCAGAAACGAGAGGGAGGGCAGAAATCTGGGCCAGCCGAGGGGACAGGTGGAAAGAGAGGAAGTGGGGAAGGAGTACATGCCTCCCCCGAGGTCTGAGAATGATCTGTTCCAAGGATAAACTTGGAGAAGGCAGAAGAGACTGGTTTCTCTGCAGGTAGACTGGGAACTGGTGGGGACATGCCTGTTCCAGAGACTTCTCAGTGAAATGTTACGTGGACCTGTACTTCAGTAAGAGTACTTTGGTAGCTAGTTCAAGGATGGGCAGAAAGAGCTGGGGCCCAAGGCCAGTGTCACCCTCCAGCCTGACTTCACAGTGGACTTGGAGTAAAGATGGTTCATTTTCTACTCATTCAACCAAGAAAATACTTCATCTCTTTTAACCCTGAAGAGATCAGTCACGTGTAATATGACAGACTGCCTCCTTTGTATGGAAACCTACCCAAATGGGTCGAGAGGGATGGAGTAAGCCTACAAGCCTTGGTGGAGCCGGCTCTAGAGAGTTCGCTGGCTCAGCTCCTGTTCATGACAAGTCCCTGATTTAAAGAACGGGTTGGAGGGAAAAGGCAGAGGAGGTGGGCGAGGGAGTGGTAGCCCTGGCTTTAATACACAGCGCTCACAACTGTGAAACATCAGCAGCATATCCAATTTAAAGCCGTTCATGTTACACTAACCTCTGGGATTCTTTTAACTGGGCCTTGACACGTCAGTCTTTCGCCACGTAAATGTCCTTCTGTCAGCAAAGACCATTTAACAGCTTCCAAAAGAAGCAGAGTCCTCATGGGAACAGGCTTCCCAGAAACCAAAGAAACAAGGCAGAAGGAAACATGTGTTGTTGGCTTTTGTCACTTCATAGCCATATCTCCAAAGGTGTTGGCTTTTTTTTATTCTTTTACTATATTGAATTTTGCAGCAATTTTATTCCATTATATCTTTGTTTCCTAAAATTTTTATTATATCAGATACTGAGTGTATGATGTGTCTAGCTCTTTAAAAAAAAATGAAATAGGGGCATGTCAAAAGAACAGGCAGAGGAAGGATTAGTCAGTGAACAGTGCTGGGGCAATTGATTAACTATGTGGAAAAAATAAATTCTCACCTCAGTCCTTAAACCTAAATTAATTCCAGATGGATTAAAGAGTTAAAGGCTAGGGAAAAATTTGGAGGACTTTCTTAGTATAAAAGCAGTAGAAACAATCATGAAGGAAAAGATTTGTCTATGTGTTGTTTAAACCTCTTCACCTAAAAAATTTAAAGAAAATTAAATAAAGATAAAGTATTTTCCAGAACATTGCAAAGGATTAGTGGCCTAAAAAGAGGAATAGACCACTTACCTAAGAAATATAGCCAAGAAGCATATGACCAGATGTTCAGCCTCCATCATGAACAGAAGAATAAAAATAAAATCAAGATAGATTCAATTTTAAAGCTACTGACTTGACTGCAGTCCTTAGTGTTGGAGGTGAGGCACAGGGGTACATTCTAGCACAAGGCTGGGGAAGTGTAAAGAGCCTCCATCTTTCATCTATTTATTATATTAATACATTTATTATATTTATATTATACTTATTAAGTGCCTTAAAATGTTTATAACCTTTGTCTCTGAATTCTACATCTAGGAAACAGATATAAAAATTATGGACCTGTTCTGATTATATAACTTAATGGTAGAAGAGTGGTTAAATATAATATGGGAAATTCATTGAGTGCCATTAAAAGATATGTTTTCCAGGAATATTTAAAGATGTGGGAAAATGCCAACAAATAATATTAACTTAAAAAAAAAAGGGCAAATGAACACTGTAGTTACAGTAATTCTAATTTTATTAGAAAAGGAAATATAAGTGCATGTGTATGTAATATCCCAAAATGTTAAATTATTTTCAGATGGTGAAGACTTTCCTTTTATTCCTTTTTCCATTTTCTAACTTTTCTACTGTCATTGTTCATTAGCTTCATAATCAGATAATAAAATAGATTTTTTAAAAAGCAAGTTCTCATTAAATTTGAATTAGGGTGGTCGAGTTAACTTATTTTAAATATGTTCAGAAGCCTGGATTTAATATTATTGCTGAACTCAAATATGACCGTGTCCTCACTCTGATTTGTATCTCTGACTCTCCGATTGGCTTCTCTTCCAGCTGACTGCCTGCATCCACGGGTCTGCCGCCATGCTGTACCCCATGTTCTGGCAGCACGTGTACATCCCCGTGCTGCCTCCGCATCTGCTGGACTACTGCTGGTAAGGCCGCGGCTTCCCTGCCCTCTGTCTTCCCTCCTCCGGGACCCGTCCAGGAATGTTAGGTCTATAACTCGCAATGCAGTCGGTGACTCTAAATTAAAAAGACTAACCAAAATGATATGAATTCTAGACCACATGACTTCACGGCCCTTTCGTTTCCAAGCGCCTTCTGTATGTGTCACAGCATTCTTAAGGGTTCAAGTAGATAATACTCTTCCCATTTCTCAGTTTGGGAAAACCAAAGCACCAAGTCATGGGATGATTTTTTTCCCCTGCTGAGACAAATTGGAAACTGGTGACAAGAACAGTTGAGATCCCCCAGGTCTTCAAGTGTCGGCCCTGCCCTGGCGTTGTCTGTGTCACCGGCTCTCGGCTGCGGTTTGGGAGCATAAGCCAGACCCCCGTACCCTCTGAAGTTTTTCGATGGGAGTTTCACTGTTCAGTGAACTGTGTTTTAGTGGAAAGAAGGAAAGCAGGCTTTAGAGTCAGCCCTGCCTTCTTGGACAAGTCACTAGGCTGCAGATTTTGTTTCCTCATCTGCAAAATGAAGTTGTTGGTACATAAGGTTATAGAAAGATGCAGTGGCGTAGCAGAGGAATGGACGCCATGCAGGAAGCCGGCTCATGGTGGGTGCTCAGGAGACGCTTCTGCGAAGCCTTGTCATCCTCACTGCCTGTCTTCAGTAGATTGCTGAAGAGGCTCAGCGGGACTGATTTGGATCCATTTTTCTTCTAAATAATGTCTTTCTCCAGTGTGATGTGGTTAAAGACATTGTCTCCACACAGCTCAGGTCAGCAGAAGCTGATAAGGGAGCACTATGCGTGTGTAGGAGAAGGCACTGCCTGCCACAAATCGAGAGCTTCAGGAGAAGGGGACCCATTCGGGGGGCTACAGTTCTGTCACGAGCAGATGATGCAGGACATTCTCCATCAGTTCAAATTGATTGAGTCCCAGTCAGCCATAATTTTTGTTGGGTTCTCCAGCCCATTTTGCAATCCCACCAGAGAAAAGGGTCACTGAGGTAGCCTAAGTGTCCTGGGAGCTTAAAGGTATTCCACGGTGCTCCTGATTTGAATATGTTAGACTCAGCCTCATCCCAAGAAGCCACAGGTACAACAAAGATGTAGCTCAGGGCTGTCAAGTCAAAATCAGCGACGCTCTCCAGTGCCTAGCGCCAAGTGAACTGGCTCATTTCACTGTGCGTCTTTCTTGTCAGGATGGCTCTTTTTATCCATGCCTTCCTCCCCGTCGTATGAGATGAAGAGGCTGTTCCTTTGCTTAGACTTGCTGCTCCTTCTGAGCTTCTCAGCCAGCTTTCTCGTTTTTTTTTCCCACTGCCATGTATCTCTAAGGGAAGGCCCATGTTTGCCATCCAGGAGTGTTTGCTGTTTGAATGACGGATCGGGGAGTTGGACAGAAGCAGACACTGGAGGAGGCCAGAGGAGTGAGGGGGAGAATAAAGAACAAAACACATACCCAAGGAAGGCAGAGGGAAGACAGAAGAATAGACAGAAAAGGTAGAAAGGGAACACGTGTCCCCTAAGACGCACACAGCGATGCCTAGTCCCTTTGCCACCCACCCCCTGACATACAACACCCTTACAGGCACGTGGCCCCTAAACCCACACACACGTCTCAGCACATGTCTCAGCCCCCTCCCCCACCTCACCCAGTCATGCGCTCTAAGGGGAAACCTTAGAGTTCTCCCTGGAAGAGGCGGACCTATGTGTCTCGATGCCGTGCTTCAGAAAGGAGCACCCAGGGGCTCCTGTGTGCAGGGACTGGTGGAGCAGGGAGAGCCTTTGCAGTCCCTCTGCCTCCCAAATAGTACAGCTTTAGCTTTCTGTTATTCAGAAAGTTTTGGTTGCTAGGTTGTGAGCTTGTTTAATACCAGCAGCTTACGGTTCCAGAACTTTGAGGAGGAGCTCGCTCAATAGCGTCAGTGATCACAGTAGCTGCCGGTGTCGAGCGGCTCCTGTGCCCCAGCTACTTCTTCACATCTGTGACCTCATTTAATTCTTCCAGCCACCTGGTAAGGCAGATATTATTAGATCCATTGCACAGACTGGTAAACGAAGGCCTCAAGAGGTTTAGTAACTTGCCCCAATATGGATATTATGTAGTGTATGATTCCATTTTAATAAAAACAAACACAGGGGCAGAAATCTAGAAGGAAATATACCAAAATGTTTATAGTGATTTATGATGAGGAGGAGGGAGAGAAATTCTGTATGATTTTTTATTTTATTTTCCATATTTTCAGATATCTCTGTAATGAAAAAAATATATGGCTTTTTTAATCAAAAAGTGTTACTTAAAAAAAAATCGGTGTTTATTCGAGTCAGTTATTCTCTTCGGCTGCCATCCCAAATCTCAGCTCTCCTTTCTTGTTTGTGTACAGGATTTATTAGCTGTTTTACTCTCTCCTGTGGAAGCTAATCCACGATCCTCTTTTCAACTTCTCTCTGACTCTAGCACTGTCAAGAACTGTGTCACCAGCCTGACCGAGAGCGATGATCCTGACAAGTCTCACTTAGAAGGGAAGACTGGGCAAGGAAGGCTGCTAAGCCCTTGTCACCCCAGACTTCCACTCCAAAAAACCCATAGTGACTCATATTTTTCTGAGCCTGAGTGGGTTTTGTGATTAGGCTCCATCTCGGAAGTTGGTGTGATAGCATTTCTCTCCTGCTCTCTTGTTTTCATAAAAGAACTTTTCGACATTTGATTGACCAAAGGATGATTATAGGCTGGCGGGGATTGGTACCTGTTTATTAACTACAAGATATAAGAATGATGGAATAAAAGATTCCCAGGAGAAAAGAAAAAAAAAACAGATCCTCCGCTCAAGGCTTGATTTGATCACCTTCAGCCTGCTCCTACTGCTTTGGTCAGAAACTACAAATGTCATGAAATTTGAGTCAATGCTAATAACTTTATTCTATTGTGCTCAGTGACTTTCTCCGCGTTGAGTTTAATCCTTGGTGGTAAGAGCCAGCAGGGATAACTAGCATTTTAAGTAAAGTGCTAGGAGCCTGAAAGATGTAAATTTGAAGAAGGTTTGTTCCTCTGCAGATGATTTAAATGTTAAGTACGTCCCCATGCAGGGGATACACGAAATGGAATCTGAAAACTATTATCTCCTGTAGAAATGAACTCTCAATTTACTCACTGCACAGGAAGGGCAGATTCTAGTCATTTTCACTGCCAGCAGGTGCCCTTTCTATGCATAATAGACTTCACAAGTGTAATTAACACATGAGGACCACTGCTGCCAGTTTTTCTTCAGGTACATGCTGCTAGGAGTTTTCAGGACAACAGTGTAGTATAGGCTGTAAGAGCTTTTTACATGGTACTTGAAGATGAGGTGTTCATTGGCTTTTGGACAAAGACACGTTATGAGGCTGAGCCCAGACCCTGCTGTTGGCATCACAGGTCATGGTCCTTGGACTCAGAGACCCCGAGAGCTGTAATGCAGCCTTTGGTAGAACGGAGGCCAGGAGAGCAAAGCTCTAGGATTCAGTGAATAAGTGGCAAGTATGATGCCGAAAACCCCACAATTATGTGGAAGTCTCTAATTGCACATTCACAAATACACCAACCAATTATTCGAGTTAACTTTAATTAGAGCTATAATCACAGATTTTAATTATCTGAATAAATCAGTTTAGTACAAATAGTCTGCCCTAAATATTTCCTAACTTGATTTTTTCAAGTTCCTTCCCATTTTTGAAGAGAGCAGCAGGGAAAGTGCCTGGGCTTTGGATTTAGGCAGACTTGGGTTTAAGTCTCAGTTTCATCTCCTACTAGCTGTGTGACCTTTAACAATCAATTTTACCTCTCTGATCTCCAATTACTTTTTCTGTAAAATGGGTTTTATTTACCTACTTTGAAGAGTGGCTTTAGGAATTAGAGATATTAGTTGTCAATAGCACATAGGAGCCATTTAGTAAATGGCGGTTGCTCTTATTATGGTTATTATAAACATGGGACGCAGGTTTTGGTTTCCAGAGTGTTTAACTCACATCAAACATTATTCTCGCTTCTGTAGCCTGTGAGCTCAGGGAGAAACTTTATAATTCATCTTCTCTTTTTACCCCTCAGATTGTTTTTATTTTGATTTTTTTTTATTTAACTTGAGTTATTGTATGGTTGTTTTCATTTGCAGCTGTGGCATAAGAATGAAAAGAAAAGAAACAAAAGCAGATGGCAGAAAAAAACGAAAGGAGTAAGACATTTCCAGCCCTTATGAATATTTAAAAACATGTGCTGCTGGTTCCTTTCTACTTTAGATCTGTGCCATTCTCTTGACTTTGAAAGTGAAAATGAGAATGTTCCCTACCTTGGCTGATGACAGCCCTGACCTTGGCCAGTGTTGGCAGAGGCTTCCCATTTCTGGCACAAAAGGATTAACTTGTCGATGGAAATCATCATCCCTTTCATTATAATAATCACCATCTATTGAGTACAGTGTGTGTGTCAGCTCTTTATAGACATTATTGCAAAATCTTCTAAATCAGGCTGTAAGGCAAATATTATTAGCTCTATTGTATAGATTAGGAAATCGATGCTCAGAGAGGTTTAGTGACTTACCCACTGTCACACAGCTAGGAAATGGTAGAACCTACTCTTGAAATCTTAGGTCATCTGATATTAAAGCTTTCATTATTAGTATCTTCCCAAGTGTAAGAGAATAAGTTGTACCCATCACTAAGATTTTATGAAGGAATTCTTTCATGTAGGCTTCTTGACGACTTGCTAATTGTAAACTTATGTTATCATTGATTAATTATTCATTCAGCAAATATTTATAGAGCACTTACTATGTACCAGGCACTATGCTAATTAAACATTGCTAATAAAAGGTCCCAGTAGAAGCCATATGGTATTTCCCATGTAAATTCCCTTTTCTCCCTTATTTATTCAGAAGCAGTCTTAAATAAGGACCAAAGTCATCTTCCAAATTGAATTGTATATACGAGTTGTCTTGGGCACTTTTTAAC